ACTTGTAATTTAACACATTGAAACAGGAGGTATAAAAGTATTTTGGTAAGCAGTTCTTTATAAAATAATACTTCATTTACAAAGTCCATTTTATTATTTATTATTTTGATCCTTAGTTTGTTCTGATGAATATGGTAGTACAAATATTATTCCAACTTTATAGAGGAAGAAACCAAAGTTTAAAGAAATTACCTTTTCATGGTTTCAGCTAGTGAGATGTTGAAGTGGATGTGAACCTTGAAAATCTAACCTTTTAACTACAAGTTCCTTATTCTACTTATATATCATCCTTTAAATATAGGCATTTAATGAGGTAGCATATGCTATAAAGCATATAAAATAGACAAATTTCCTGATCACTGCTATAATTTTGAATATATATATATATATATATATATATTCTTTTCATTATCTTTTCATTTAGAATAGATGACCTTAATGGTTTGGATTACTTGTTTCTGAAATGTTGGCTTTAACATGGTATAAACATGGGCAGCTAGCCCCATGGCCTGGTGGGAAAAGCAGCTGGATCTTTTGTGGCCAGCTATACGTGATTTAAGTCTCAGACTTGGTGGCTTGAGGAACATGAAGGCATTGCTACGTGTGTGCTCAAAATTAGGACAGGAGGGAGAGGTGAAAGAGAGGGACTGTGGCCTGACCCTTCCTCATGGAAGATGCTTTCTCCCATTTCTCTGTCTGTCTCAGTAGTGAGCAGATGCACCCTTCAGTGTGCGCACAGGCACAAACACACTCTCAAGGATTCTGGGACCAACTGGTGGCCTGGTTTAAATAGAGGTCTAAAGATACTGGACCATCTAGTGGCCTGGTGCTCGAGGTGGCTGGATCTCACATGGCTGACTTTGTGGTTTGAGTCCCAGACCTGGTGGCTTGAAAAAACACGTTCAGTGTGTGTGTGTTTGCCCAGGATCCTGGAGGGAGAGAACAGTGGAGAAGAGATTGCAACATGACTGGTTCCCCATGGGAAGTATCTTCTCACGTTCTCTGTCTGTTTCACACCAGTGCACAGACTCTGGCAAATTAATTTTAAAAAGAGATACTGTAAATACATACTGTTATTAATATTATTTAAGTTTTATTATATCCTAGAATTGAACCTGTAGTTTTATTACCACCAAAAACAAAAACAAAACAAAAATGCTCAACTTGGTGCTTTATATTAGGTTTCATATTTGAAATAACCTTTATTTTGTAAATAATTAACAGTGAAGGCATTGAATTTTTTTTTTAATTTTAGCAGTTAACTATGTTTGGCTTAACTTTCAAATTTTTATTTTTAATTTGTACATTTGTGATAGCATATAGGTGTCTTTATTGAGTTGTCACCAACTTAATTAAAAAAACCACAGTAACAAAAAAAAACAACAAAACCACAGTAACAGGAAAGTAAAAAGTTTTATAACTTTTGTGCCTTTGTATAGTCTCATATGTTATGACATAAGAGCCAGAGTAAAACCCTGGAAAATTGATTGTCTCCAATCCAGTTAGAATTAAACTCTTCTGGGGCTGGCAGGTGGTGTTGTGGCTGAGTGCAATTCAAGTCCTGGACCTGGCAGCTTGCTTTCTCACTCTCCCTTTCACTCTCTGTCTCTATCTCTGTCTCTGTCTAGTCAAACTAAAATAATAACAACAATAAATAAAACTAACTAAATAATTTTTTTAATGAAAAGAATTGATACTATCCTCCTTCTTCTGATTGAAAAGTATTTGTACATTTTTTTCCCCAGATGTAATATTTGATTAAAGTACTCACATTTTGTTTCAGGTTACCTTAGATAAGTACTTGTTCTAAGCAATTTGAAAATCTGATATTTAGATTTTGCTTTCAATAAGAAAATTAGGCCTCAGCAATAGAGTAGTTACTGTGTTTTATGTAGTGTGAGAGTTTGAACATCAAAGAGAACTTGTTTTTCTTATTGCTTAATATTTTCACAAATCCAGGCACCAAAGTCTTAATATTTTCTGTCTCTCGAACTGTGCTTGGCCATGGTAATTTGGTTCTAAGCCAGAATTGCTTTAAGAGCAACTTAACAAATATTTTGGCTTCCCTTGAGCATTTTCTTCGTACTACAGTAAGTTCAATAGAATTTTTTTCTTATTAATGAAATCTGACTATTTTGATTATATAATGAAAAATTTACATCATAGTAATCAGTGGTTTGAACTTATTCATTAAACTTCTTCCAAAAGGTTAGGAAACAAACTGTGTGAAAGAACTGCAGTGCTCCTCCTAAAATGAGGCATGACAGGGTTCCAGTTAACATTGTCAGAAATCACTGTATGAATATAGAGTTGATCGATGGGACGTTTGTTCGTATATTTTACCGTCTTCTATGAGGGACTCGGGTAATGAAGTGTAGATTTGACTGCCGTTTGCCAGTTGGAAAGGCTCCAAAAACAAGGAGGCATTTGTGCATGTGCAGATGTTGGCAGGGCTCCCTCTTCTCCTGTTGTCAAAGACTATTTTATTTTCACAAAGATATGTTTGTATCTGTTCTACAATATGTCATGTGAATAATATACCCATGGTGTGTGGAGGAGATTTTTGTTTTACCTTTTGCATGATAAAACCATAAAGCCTCACACACTAACTTATTTTTAGTCCTTTCATTTTTTTTAATGTCAGGAATTGTGTATGTGAAAACTTCTGGAAGATAGTTAAATCTTTGTGATCATTTGTCTACAGTTCCAGGGTCTTGGAGCAATTTAAATTGGTAGGAAAAGTTGAAAATAGTGTGTGGTTAACAAACAGATGTTGCACTGCCACTTTGACCGTGAGCAATCTGTCACTTTCCCCAGTGCTCAGTAGAAAATAAATTCTCAGGTGTGAGATTAAACATGTATTTATCTTTACTTTCTAAAGAATCAGTGGATGGTGCCTCTGAATTAAAATCGAATCAATTAATTTACTATACTTAAAGATTCATAATGTCTAAAATTTTCATTTACATCGTTAGTGTTTCATCACAAAACTGCAGATATTAAAATGTAAAAGAAGTTATATACACAAGGAACATGCATGGTTGTTGTGTCGAAAGGAAGCACAAATGAAAATAGGTAATTATGGATTAATTTTAGTTCTAAAAATCTTTAAATTTTTTCCTAAACGCAGTAAGAATTTTAAGGATATTGTCGTTTGGATAGTTAGCTCCAGGTAAAATTAGTATGGCCTATTTTCTTAAGAGCTGCAAGAAGAGCCTCAGCTCCAGTTCTTCAAATGTTTGTAGATTGTTCAGTTTTACAATGTCTGTAGCCACATTCTGTGGTGTTTTAATTAATACTGTTTGTTCAGTCCACTTTCATTCCTGTGTAGTAGTTGTGGAAATATCATCTCATAATTTTTTTTTTTTTAACTTCTGGAAAGGCGCTAGGCTGAGGGAATGGCTCTTAAAACATACCTCTAGCTGTGTAATCTTATGTAAGAAGTTGTCTAAAATATTGCTTGCTATACTTTGATCCTCTAATGTTCATTTTGTAGTTTTGTGTGTTAGCACTGGAAGGAATATTGGATAAAGGTTATCATTTTACTTCGGGGACCAGCAGATGGTGTGACGGCTATGTTGCTGGACTCCCTTGTAGTCGACTGCAGTTTGAGTCCTGGATCCGGTGGCTTAAACTCATGCCAGGCATGTGTGTGTGTGCCCAAGATCCCGAGAGGAGATGCAGGAGAAGGGATTGCGGCGTGACCATCCCTGCTGGGGGGTGATTTCTCGCTTTCTCTCTCTCTTGTCTTTTTGGCGAGTGTACACACCCTATAGCAAAAACCTCTCCAAAAAAAAAAAAAAGAAAAAGAAAAGAAAAATGGCTTCTTCATCACATTGAAGAATTTTGTTTTGATATGAGGTGATAATCCTCCAATTAGTTTTCAGATTCATTGAAAAACCTTGCTAAGGTGAAGAGAATAAATAATTTTGAGACTGCACCAAAATGAACAGAAAATGTGGCTGGGGAAAGGGAAACAGATTAACTTGGAGCTAAAGTACTTAGAGTGGAGGTTGCATTGATAGCATATCAGTTTGTTTCTTTCCAACCTTTGGATGCAGGTTATAAGACACCTTCTAAGAATCTTCCCCTGAATTCCATTCTTGCCTGCCTTTGGATTAGGTATTATAACAAATGTTCCTGTAATGATTTTTAGTAACTAATATTTATGACACTCACAATTATTTATTCAGTGTCTCTCTGCTCTTCTGAAGTAGAAGTCCATGACTAAACAGGAACTGTTAAGTTCATTCTTATTGCCAGCATAGCACAGTGCCTGTGCCTGGTACTAATTGCTGGTTGACAGACCTGCAGTATTGTCCATTGAAAAAGAAGTGTTGGTTGTCTGCACGAACAAAAGTCAAAGAAGATAATCGAGGGCTGGCCCCGTCTTAATGCGGTTGAGTGCCGTATAGAAAACTGGATCCCACGTGACTGACTGTGATTCCATTCCTGGCCCCAGCTTGAAAAACATGCTGGGCACCTATGCATGTCTGTGTGCCCCAAATCCTGATGGGGTAGAGAAATGGAAGAAAAAAGAATGGAGGAACAAGAAAAAGAATCGTCGTGTGACCATGGCCAGTTAGAAGGTGCTTTCTTTCTGTTGTCTCATTCTCTGTGGTGAGCGCACACATACTCTAACAAAAAAGGAAAAGAAAAAAAAAAAGATGAAGGAGAGCATAAACAGTTTTGGAGTTGGAGTTGATAAAAATAATGACTTGCCTTTTATTGATTGGTTTGGTAGTTTGTTTCTGAGATTTTGATAAGCAAGACATCAACTTTTAGCTGTGTATTATAAAGTCCTGTATTTAAAATTTCTCCCAGATACATAGTAACTATACAAGTTAGAAAAAGACTGAAATCTATCTCTTATAAACTTGAATATTTTCAGTACAAGAAAATGCAAACTGATTCCTAATAGCAGTTTCTACTGAGAGGATCTGGGGTAGACCTAGGATATCTTCAACAGAATATCATATAATAAGATAATTCTTTTGTAGAGTTTTCCATCTGATGAAGGTTGGCCATTTGCAAAATATCTTGGAGCTTGTGGAAGAATGGTGGCTGTAAATTATGTTGGAGAAGAACTGTGGAGTTACTTCCATGCACCATGGGAGAAGCGAGTTGACCTCGCTTGGCAATTAATGGAAATAGCAGAGCAGCTTACAAACAACGACTTTGAGTTTGCACTCTACCTCCTGGACGTCAGCTTTGACAATTTCGCAGTCGGTCCTAGAGATGGGAAGGTCATCATCGTGGATGCTGAAAACGTTTTGGTTGCTGACAAAAGATTAATCAGACAAAGTAAGTATGTAACTTTTAGACTTGGGATGGGGAAATAAACTTTTTTTTTATTGCTAAGTCAGGATATTTACATGAAGCAAACCTTAAATTTCCTTCTTAGATAGCAACTTTGCATCTTTCTTTTAGTAAATGAATGCTTACTGTGTTTATTGTATTTGTACATTTATTAATAGCTTCTCCATACTTAATAAAATAATTTTGGATTCATATGGACAGAAATATTCTCTGTGTGTACATTACTTTGTATACTGTTCACTGTATTCTGTGGTTTAGGAGTCTGATGCATAATGAAGTTTAGGCTGATAAAGACTACTGGAGACACTGTACTGCTTTCAAGGAGGCCTCTCTTTCTCTGTGTTTTGAGTTCCTATAGTGGTGATTCAGTTTTGTTTTTTAACCATTTGGATGTTTTCTACAGCAGATCTGACTTTGGTTGATATTTCCGATAGCTACATCTCTCTCAAAACTGTGCTGTCCACGTATTTGTGAGCTCTTCACAGGGTAGTTGAGCATAGTGTCTAAAGTGCTTTAAAAATTAAATATCATAAAATTTAAAGTGTAAAGGGTGTAAAGCCTGTAATTCTTGAATCAGTTTATTTAGAAAGCAGATAGTTGTTGTACCATGTTGAGGGTCTTATATTTTTAATTCCCTCGCTTCTGATATAAGGAGTATTAGGACCTTTTGTCAGACAGAAGGTAAAACTCTGTAGCACCTGGGGAATGCAGTTCATGTGGCAGCAGTATATTAGGTTGACACTTTTTGCATGGTTTTGTCATGATCTTCTTAAGTATTGATTTTTTTCCATGCCTTGTTCTGACTCTATACTGACCCAACTACTTTTTGATTATTTCTTGACTTGCCATGTAGATCCTCCCACAGGGGGTGAACACCCTGCTGGAGTGTTCCACTCCCCACTTCTCTCCTCCTATATCTGTGACCGTTGTCACAGCTCATAGTAAAGTGTACAATTGAGTGTTTGTTTTTTTCTTTCAGTACAGTCACAGAATTGTGCAGTTTGCTTAAACTTTAAAACTTTTCATTCCAGTGCTAGTAAAAATAATTTTTTATAACTCATTTATGCAAACATTCCTGTAATAATTGCTACAGTTCTTTTCCAACCAATTCCTGACCTTGGGTGAATCCAGCTGTATAGCTTGTTTTCTCACATTTCCAACAGTGAGCATTGCTCCAGTGCTATTTAACTCTGGCCAGCTTTCACACACCTCATGGTGAAGGCTCTCTAAATAGCCACTTTGCAGTAGGGTCTGTCCATCCAGTCACCCTCTTGTCTTTTCAGCTTTCTAGTTGGAAACTATGTTATGTTATGCTTCACAGGGAAATTGAGGTTCCACTGTGATAACTCCCTCAGTGTTCTTCCCATTAGCTTGCCAACACGCATTGTCTTTCAGACAGAGTAGATCCCTCTTTGTGAACCTGTTGTGTCAGTTTTCCTCTTCAACTTCCCATTCCCCTCCTTTAATGTCCAACTTCTCTTACCTTCCCATAAACAAGTTCATGCACGACTCTTGCTTCTTGCATTTCGATTGTTCTTACAAGTTTTTCTTATTTACCTGTCTTTGCTTTCTTATCCTCTGTTCTTTAATCCATTAAACATGACTTTGGTCATGGTGCCTTGCCATTAGCAACCACCTAATTGGCGAATTTGTCAAATTACACTATGATTAGTAACAACTTTTTGAAATTATTTCCTCCTCTGGCCTCCTTCTACTGAAGTAGTGACTGACTAAAAGCATAAATCTGATCTTATGAATTCCCCAGGTGAAATGTAAAGCTTTAATGACTTCCCATTGTTCTTCAAGTAAAATACAAACTCTTTTTTTTTTTTGAAGAGGTTTTTGCTATAGGGCACGTGCACTCACTCGCCAAAAAGACAGAGACAGAAAGCGAGAAATCACACATGCACACACCCCCGGAGGGGATGGCCATGCTGCAGTCCCTTCTCCTGCATTCTCTTCTCGGGATCTTGGGGATGCATGCACACGCGCCCGGCATGAGTTTAAGCTACCGGGTTTGGGACTTGAACCGTGATTGACTACATGGGAGTCCAGCGACATAGCCATTATGCCAACTGCTGGTCCCTAAAATCCAGGCTCTTTACCAGGGCATAATTTGTGATGCTGCCTTATTCTGCTTTATTTTTAATATCCCTCTGTTTATGGCCCTTGAATCTTCATTTTCTACATAGGACCTTTTGGTTTCTTTGGAAGGAAGCTTTCCCCTTCTTTTTTCCCTACGTGGTTTCCACTGACCGAAATGCCTCATCTCTCCTTCATATGCAGTTAATGACTTGTCCTTCCAGCCTTGCTCCATCGGGGTCATGTGCTGTGAACGTGCATCCACACCTCTGAGCTTAGAGTCGTGAGACTTAAGTCTAGTTCTGGTTGTACACATGACATGCTCACCTGAATGCCTTGTAGATTCTTTATAAGATGTTTATACATAAAATATTGACACCGTTATGTTAGTAATATCTTCTTTCTCATCTAGTTAGAACCTTAAACTGTGTCTGCTCTTACCTGTTAATTTTTAACTCAAATGGCTCTTCAATCTGGCTTTTTTTTTTTTCTTTTCTGGGCTTTCTTTAATTATGGTTTCTTAGTCCCTCTAGTTTAAAATATTGACACCGTTATGTTAGTAATATCTTCTTTCTCATCTAGTTAGAACCTTAAACTGTGTCTGCTCTTACCTGTTAATTTTTAACTCAAATGGCTCTTCAATCTGGCTTTTTTTTTTTTCTTTTCTGGGCTTTCTTTAATTATGGTTATCTTAGTCCCTCTAGTTTTCAATATAGAGTTTCTTTTCTATAACACAAGTCATAGTCATGATCACACATGGTTCATTCTATTTTTTTAGCCTCATCTGGACCTCCTCTGCAGGCACCTGTCTCACACTGTAGCCACAGTTAGCTGCTCATTGTTTCCTGATCCAGCTGAACCAACCCTTGAAGTCCATGCCTTTAGTGTACCCTGGCCTGGAATGCTGTTTCTATCATTTCTTTTTAGACTTGTTATCTTTTTAGATTTAAAGCAGATGTTTCCCTCTACCACTGCCTTCTGCAGCTACAGGTGAAAAATTGCTTCCTCCACACTCCTGTAGCGTACTTCATAGTGCATCTTTTATGGATGATGGAGTCGCTAGTTTGAACCCTCAGGTGGTAGTAACCTGTCAAATTTGTCTGCCTGGCATTGTTGGGCTCCCAAGGATCAACTGTGTGAATCTATACATGTAAATGTTTAAAATTGTAATACACTATTATACCTAACAGTATAGAACAAAGCTGTATGTTAGTAACATATTCTGTTTTAAAAAAGCAATAAAAACTATTTTAAAATGTTTTTTTCCCTTTCTGCTTTTCCTTCTCCACAGATAAACCTGAAAATTGGGATGTATGGTATGAAAGTAAATTTGATGACTGTGATAAGGAGGCTTGCTTATCGTTTTCAAAAGAAATTCTTTGTGCTCGTGCCACTGTGGACCACAATTACTATGCTGTTTGTCAGAACCTCTTATCCAGACATGCCACCTGGCGTGGCACTTCTGGCGGACTCCTTCATGACCCACCAAGTGAAATTGCCAAAGATGGCCGCCTGGAGGCCTTGCTGGATGAGTGTGCCAACCCAAAGAAGCGCTATGGCAGATTCCAGGCTGCAAAAGAACTGCGCGAATATCTAGCACAATTAAGTAACAATGTGAGGTAGTCTATGGAGAACCTTTTCCTTTTCTCCATTTCAATAGCACTGGCTAAACTAAACCACCAAAAACTATCTGGAAAAACGAAATCGGAAAGTATTACATTCAGAGGATAATAAACTTGCACTGATAGGTTTTACATTAACATCCGTCAAAATAAGACACTGCTTCAAAAATCACATGACGCTTCTGCAAATAAGTATGTTCTTATACTTTGGAGACTTGAGATACCATTGACTGCTTGGCCCCCTGTCCCTGAATGCCTGAGTGGATTAAGGAATCTTGTTAAGCTGTTGGAATTGAGTCTGGTAGTTACATTGGCTGTGTATCAAACGGTACTTGGTACTTAGTTTGCATTACTATCATGATTTTGTGAATCTCTTGCATTTTCTTTGAATGTTAAGTTAGATCGGCCTGTTTTATAGGCCATTTTTTTCCTTCTGATGTGTAGGGTGTTTTTCCATTTTTATGGTTTTTATTAAATTTTACACGTTCAGGTTACTGTAGGTGTTCATTTAAATTTTGACTAGTTTTTATTCATTGCTATGCGGTACATAAATTTAATGTTAGGGCAGGGTTCCCAAGTTTACTCATTTTTTCAGAAAGCTGAATATTTTATTATGTAAATACTTTCTCCCCACTGTCTGTGAGTTCACCATTGCATGATATCATTTCCAGTTACTTAACGGTTACATCCTTCTATGCCAATAATTATAAGTGTACACTAAACATGAAGTTTGGCATACGTTGCAAAGTGTCATTTTGCCCTTTACTAAAGGCTTTAAGAAGAGTATACTAGCCGTCTATACCTTGATAATTTTGATTTAGAAAAAAATACAATTCAGTATTTTTTAAAATGCTCACTAGTCCAAGATAGTAATGCATATGCCAAAGAAATACTAAACCTAGTTCCATGTTTAGAAGTTAAAATAGAATTGGTCACCTACTTATTCTACTATCCCACTACCAGTATTTTAGCTCTGTCATCATTAAATTCAGACTTAACTGGTTATTCTTTAATATCAAAAATTAGGCTACTGCTTCAAAAATATGTGACTTAAACATCATACCTTTTATTCATTGGTAGTTTTGGAAAATTAATGTGGTAGTCATTGTTAGCATTAATTAGGCATCATCAACCTTTTTTTATTGATGGACTAATAATTTTTACTGTAGAGCAGATATTTTAGCCACAGTGCCCACCTCAGTCTTCTTTACCTAGCATCAAAACATCAAATGTAGGGGCTGGCACCATACCCTGGTAGAGAGAGCTGGATCGCACGGCTGATTGCAGTTCACGTTCTAGTCCAGTGTCTTGGAAAACATGCTGGGCACATGCACATACGTGCCCCAAACCCGAACAGGTTGGAGAAATGGCAGAGAAAGGGACTGCAATGTGACCATGCTCTGTCAGGTACTTTCTTCTGCTCTCTTTCTCTCTCTGGTGAGCATGTGCACCCTCTGACAAAAAGAAAAACACATAATTTAAGTTATGAGGATAAAAATGAACAATGATGTGGAATTAGTGGGCTATTTCAAAGAATATTACAGTTTATAAGTTGAATCTCACTAACATAGGTCATATTTTTCTGTTGAAGTTACTTTGTTTACAGCAAAATTTGGTGTACTGTGCAGTGCTTAGTTTGAGATTGACCTTATTCTTAATCAGAAAGTGATTAGAATATGCACAACCAAAGCCAAGTTTTCTTTTTCACTCATTCAGCAACTATTTATTGAGCAACTCTGTGCCAGGCACATGACTAGCTGCTACACTGTCTAAGTATGACATACGGTTAAGTAACTTTACGATTATCAATACTGTAATGCAGGTATTTTTTTAGGTTGAAATAGTATTAATCAAATTAGGATGATGCTTTCATGTTATTTTACTGTCGTGATGGAAATTCTAGTTTTGTCATCTAAAACTATGTTTCTATGAAAAGAGGAGGATGAAGACCAAGTTAATCCCAGTTTAAAAACTGGAGAAGAAGAGGGTACATGCTCTTCATTATAAAGTATATTAATTATATTATGTTAATTTTTATACATCAGTACATTGCATATATCAACTAGCCCTCAATGAAACATTTAAGTGCTGGAAATTTTACTGAGCTGACTTTTTACAACTTTGGAAACTTTTTGAGGGAGTACTTAAAATGACTTGCCCAACGTTTGCCTCTTACTCAAAACTTCAAATAAAATACACATTTTCAAAACCGAGCACCTTTTATACTTGGTAAGTATTCATTGCAAACTTTAAAATGCCAGTCAGAGAGATGTTGTCTGTCTGTGGTTTAGCAAACATTTGTCTTATGTTTTGAAATAGAGATTGTGATTGCAGAACAGGAAGTGAGAAAACACTGCCAGCAGTGATTGCTACTGGAGGTGGGGTTTTTTTTGTTTTGTTTTGTTTTTTATAACTACCATTTCCCCCCATGAGATTATGTGGAGTTTCTTTTATCTTTGGAAAAGGTTGAAGAGAAGCTAGTACAAGAATTAGAAATTTAAAATTACAGGGAAAAATATGTATGTGAAAAGCAATAAATATTTTGTTCACTTTGCTATCAAGATGTTCACTATCAGATATTTATTATACAGCAGCAATTTATATTTTTAATCATTGCCCATTAATAGACGCAGTAAAATATTTTTGAATCAGACATTTGGGATTTGTATGTGCATTAAAATTGTCTTTTGTACTGTAAGTTACTGTTTAATTTGAATATTTTATCAGAATTGTCTCCCTGTGCCTTTATAATATAAAGTTGTTTCTACAACTTTTACTGATCTTAATAAAGAATACTTTAAGAATCACACTTTTCAGACTATCTTTCTTTGTAATTTTTAGTTTTTGTACAGCAAAAATTACAAATTTTTTTAACAGAACTTTACCTTCTTTATTAAATGTTTCTTCCCTCTGCCCCCCCTACCCCTGCTCTACCACCCACCCTCTACCACCCACTCTTCCCTTCCTGTCTCTTAACTTCAAGTATCCACATTTTTCTTCAGTGGAAAATGAGATTGTGATAAGTTCTTGTTTTTCCTCTTGTGTGCGTTTTGTGTAATTTTGGGAACTCTGATTGGGTGAGAGCTGGACTTACAGGGGGATATATTTTTCCGTAATAGTGACTTTTTAAAAACTTTCACATGAGATTCTTTTTTAGATTTCATTATGGAAATTTTCAAATGTATGGAAGAGAATAGTATAATGAACCAAGAGGATAGCTATCAGTTTGCTAACTTCAAAAGCAGCATGAGGCCAAACTTTCATCTCTTCTCCAATCTCTGTGCTTTCAGCTTATTTGAAACAAATCTGAGACATATTATTTGCCTCAAATATACACAGTCAACATTTGTCCTACAAGATCACAACACTATCTCACATTTAAAAAAATAGTAATACTTCAGTTCTGTCAAAATAGGAAAACACTCAAATACCACGTTTTTGCTCAAAAGCTCTGGCTCCAACTGCAGAGATCCTGAACCACTGGCTATCTAGATAGAGCAATTCCATGATCAGTAAGAAGAAAAACTAAAATGGATTGTAACATATTAAGTATGAAAATGTATACATTTGAAAATGATATTAAAACAGCGACCCAAGGGACCAGTAGTTAGCGTAATGGCTATGTTGCTGGACTCCCACGTAGTCCACCGCAGATCGTGTTCCGGACCCGGTGGCTTAAAACTCACTCCTGGCACGTGTGCGTGCATACCCAAGATCCCAAGAGGAGAATGGAGGAGAAAGGATTGCAGCGTGGCCATCACCCCTGGGGGATGATTTCTCGCTTTCTGTCTCTGTCTGGCGAGTGAGCGCACGCACCCTATAGCAAAAACCTCTCCAAAAAAAAAACAGCGACCCAAGAGCATAAACCAATTCAGTCATCTTTAAAAGGATATTCGATTATTGGGACCAGCAAATGGTGTAATGGTTGTCCCTGGACTCCCACATAGTCGACTGTGGTTCTAGTCCCGGACCTGGCAGCTTAATACTCACGCCGGGTGTATGTGTGTGCCCGCCCAAGATCCCGAGAAGAGAATGGAGAAGAAGGCATTGCGGCATGGCCATCTTCCCTTGGGGGGTGATTTTTTGCTTTCTGTCTCTTTCTGGTGAGCACATGTACCCTCTAGCAAAAATCTCTCTCTCAAAATTAAAAAAAAAAAAGATTTTGAATTATTTTGAAAACTCAGAATAATAGAGGAAAATCTTATGGAATACATAAAATATTCCAATTAATAAATGCAGGAATGTTACATCACCCTTTTGCAATTTTTGGCGAACAGACCATTGTGAGCAATGATCTGTAATGGCTACCAAAGATATTAGTGAAAATTTTTTTAGTTTTGCTATTGTACTCATTAGAGAAAATGAGTGAGAGGGAAAGTGAGAAATCATCCTCCAGGGGATGGTCAGCTGCAATCCCTTCTCCATTCTCCTCTAGGGATTTTGGCCATGCATGCATGTGCCCAATGTGATTTTCAAGCCACAGGGCCTGGGATTTGAACCACACAGCCTGCCATGTGGGATACAGCACCTCAACCTCCACACCACTTGCTGGTTCTATTAGTGGAAAGTGTATTGAGGAACATTATATGAATGACTCAGGATGATGAATGTGACCATGCACCCTGATGTGAATATATACACTTTTTTTAAAAGTTGAAACAATTTAAACAACTGAATTAATAGGTTATTGTGTTGGGTAACCTTATCCACTTTAATTTTGCGCTTGCTTTTAATATGTGAAAAACTGTAAAGTGCCTATTCTATATTAAGTATAGTTTATTAATCTGTACTGTTAACTTTAAATTTGGGGCAAGAACATTTTAAAGTTCCGTTTTCTTTTGAAAGATAATTTGCCCGTGGTCACAAAAATAGCCAATGGGAGAGCTGGAGTGAATTTTCTGATTGATTTCAACAAGTGTGAAGAGCATAGACAGTTTGGTTTGTTTTTATGGTTTCTGTCATAACACATATGCACTTAGCAGAGAGAGAGAGGGAAAGTGAGAAATCACCCCTCAGGGGGATGGCCATGCTACAATTCCTTCTCCATTCTCCTCTTGAGATTTTGGACACACTCCCTGTGTGATTTTCAAATCACCGGTTCTGGGACTTGAACTTTGTTTGGCTATGCAAGAGTCTAGCACCTTTAACTTTTTAACTAACATGCCACCTGCTGGTCCCCGAAAGTCTAGCTTGTAAAGTGACAGCATTAAAAGTACTCAGAACACTTAGGCTTGGGATTTTGTTGTTAATTTTAGTTTCCCTTTATACGTCTATCTCAGGTGAGTAGGCAGTGCTGAATGATGTCGCCTGTAGACTGTGAGATGGAGATAGGACTAACAGAAGTGATACTTTTTCAGTATTTCATTTTAATCCCAGAACAAAACCCATGGCATCCCAATCTTAAGTGGTCCCACTCATTTTCTGTTTTATGTTTTTTTGTTTTATAGACATTTATTATTTTGGGGCTAGCAGGTGACGTAGTGGTTAAGGCTGGACTTCCCCACACTTAACCGAAGTTTGAGTCCCAGACCCAGTGGCTTGAAGCTCACACCAGGTGTGCGTGTGTGTACATAGCCAAAATCCTTAGCAGAGCATGGAGAAGGGATTGTCGTGTAACCATCCCCTCAAGGGGTGATTTCTCGCTTTCTCTCTCTCTCTTTCACTCTGGTGATCCCATATGCCTTTTTTTTTTTTTTTTGAGAGGTTTTTGCTATAGGGTGCGTGTGCTCGCCAGACAGAGACAGAGACAGAAAGCGAGAAATCACCCCCCAGGGGGGATGGCCATGCCACAGTCCTTTCTTCTCCATTATTCTCTTGGGATCTTGGGCATGCACGGACATGCACCCTGCGTGAGTTTTAAGCCACTGGGTCTGGGACACGAACCGCGGTCGACTACATGGGAGTCCAGCGACATAGTCCAGTGACGAAGGCATATGTGCTGTTTCCAGCACATATGCCTTTTAACAGACATAGTCCAGTGACGAAGGCATATGTGCTGGAAACACAAAAAATTCTCTCAAAAGAAGAAAAAAAGACATTGATTATTGGTTTTATTTTCTTGTACAATTTTCTTCATCCATTTTTATAGCTATCCTAAGTACTTTGTACAGTAATCTAAGGACTTCCCACACAGGTTGTCTTCCCTTATTTTGAAGAATAACAGTAATATTGGGTAGGGGTGGCCCAGGGGAAGTGGGAAGAGAACATACCCCCAATTATTTATTTCCTGAAATTTGCTTTAATTGTCTCATCAATATTTTGAAAAGTCAACCTTTTAGAGTTTTATTTGTTTTTTAAACAATGCGTATATTTTTGTGGTGCTACTACTGAATGGAGTTCCTTGGATTTTTCCCACTATTAAGTAGTTCGATTTTTGTGGTCCTTTGTGTTACGATTTTCAGACTTTTTAACAATCTGCTGGAATGCGTGTGCATTTGTTGGAGAGAGAAGAAAATAGAGAAAACACCACCTGTGGGAGATGGTCACACTGCAGTTGTCCCTTCTTCATTTCTGATTTCTCCTTTGGGGATTTTGAGAATGTTTTTCAAGTTGCACTGTCTGGGACTCAGGCTGCAGAGTCTGCCATGTGGAATCCAGCCACCTTAACCACCATGATGTGGGCTAGCCCAGACACATTAAAATATTTAAGGAAGTAAAATAAATTAAGAATCAGAAGTTACAACCAGATTTTTATCTTTTTGTTTGCTGTAGATCATGTGTGCTTGCCAAAGACAAAGGAGGGGGGAGTGAGAAATCACCCCATAGAGGGATGGCCATGCCACAATCCCATCTTTTTCCATTCACCTCTTGAGATTTTGGGCACTCATGCACTTCGGCCTGGTATGATTCTCAACTCACCAGATCTGGGACTTGAACTGTTCAGTCGGCCATGTAAGATGCAGTTGCCTTATGGTACACCACCTACTGGCCCCAAGATTTTAATCTTAAGAAAGTGGCTGACAGGTGGTGTGGTACTCAAGGCGCTGGACTCCCACATGTCTGACCAAAGTTTGAGTCCCAGACCTGGACGCTTGCTTTTACTTTCTCTCTCTGTCGCCTTCTGGTCAAATTTAAAAAATAATAACAAATGAAATAATTCTTTAGGGGAAAGAATTTCAGTCATGTGCTGTTGTTAAAATCTTAAATATAAATCTCTTGGGGCCAACAGTTAGCGTAATGGCTATGTCGCTGGACTCCCATGTAGTTGACCACGGTTCAAGTCCTGGACCCAGTGACTTAAACTCACGCCAGGTGCATGTGCGTGTGTGCCCAAGATCCCGAGAGGAGAATGGAGGAGAAGGGATTGCGGCGTGGCCGTCCCCCTTGGGGGTGATTTCTCGCTTTCTGTCTTTCTGTCTCTCTGGCGAGCACATGTGCCCTATAGCAAAAACTTCTCAAAAAAAAAAAAATCTTAAATAGAAATCTCAAGCACTTACACTCACTTATTCCCAAGAAAAGTCATTTAGGAAAAGACAGTTAAAAAGAGGAAAGACTAACATCTTTGAACTGTTTAAAGTTAATTAAGCATTTCTGAGGGGAGTCTGAATCTCTTCTTTGACCCTTGCCAGTTATAACTCTAGACAAATGATTTAACATCTATAAGACAGTGTCCACTTTTTAAAAACAGTTTCCTCTTTGACTTTATTACAGAGTTGTTAGACAGCAGACTGTATGGGAAAGTACTAGGTAAGCTGTGAAGTCTACACAAAAATATGGTAAGAACAGGCAAACATGGATGGTTAGCTCAGAGGGCAAGAAGGGACTTCATTCGAGGATTAAATCCTCAATTGCTTGCTGGTAGTGCGTAGC